ACTATAACTGCACTTCCAGGCGCCACTGTAATAATGGAGTAGTAAACCTTGTCCTGATGAAAGCTGTTCTGAAAGCAGTAGCATTTATTGTGCCTCCTGTGCTATTTGCAGAGCAGAACTGAAAAGTAGTTTGTTTTGCCTGGAATGAACTACTTTATGAATTTTAATGTACAATCTAATATTAAAAGCTGAACCAGGATTAAAGAAGATTTTTGTTCCCAAGCTAAAACAGTACTTATGAGAATGTGTTATAAGAGACTTTTTTGTTTCACTTTCGATGGGGAAGAAGCGAGCTTCCGTGTTTGTGAAAACCTCTTCAGATTGGTTATCCCTTCTATAAAAAACTGTCCTTTGTTTAGGAAAATTGAATTAATCCAGAACTTCTTGCTGCTGTAATCAGTCTTATTTGATGAGTAGATGTATCTGGGCAGGCCATGAGGGGTTGGATGTGTTTGGGTTGGGTTTTTTTCCCAAGTATTTTCAGAAGACTAAATTGATTGGTGACAGGAAGATGGCCAAATGATTTTGTGATTCTTGGTGTGTTACATTTGTAAAATGTAGCTCCCTTGTTCAGTTAGTGCTTGCAAAATCTAGTTAAAAAAATTAGCTGATCTATGGTTTCTTTCCTAAACAAAAAATGTTGCTATAAGTGTGGGTGGTGTGCTTAAGTGTGGATAAGATGAGAGATTATGTTTTGTTTTGTTTTTCTCTCCAAAATGAATACTTTTTCCACCTCCTCTCCCAAGTCCTGAAGTTGCATCATTGGGGACTTTTTTGTTTTCTGTTCAGGCTTTTTGAGGAGGAGGGTGTTTTTTCAACCTAGCTTCAAACGGCCTCTGTCTTGAACTCAATTCTAAATTCAACACAACAGCCTAGATGCTTGCTATGTATAAATTATGAAACAATTTTATGTATGGATATTCTCCAAGAGGTTAATTAGCATTATTGCATGGAATTCATCAGACCAGAGCAAACCAATGGTCCATCTAGTCCAGCCAGAGTCTATACCTGATCTTTGAAATTACTAAGAGGCAGGGGAAGAATTTTTATACTTGGGCAATGATTTAAATTGGGGAGGGTGAGGGGATGGCTGTGAACAACAACTCTTAATAATTCCCGAACAGATAATTTTATAACTTTTAAGACTTCTATTCTCTTCAAGCTTCTGGGTCTAATATGGCTTTTTGATGCAAATGCCTCAACCCTGGAAGTGTTCAAGGCCAGGTTAGATGGAGCTTTGAGCAGCCTGGTATAGTGGAAAGTGTCCCTGCCCATGGCAGGGGGGTTGGAACTAGATGATTTTTAAAAGTCTCTTCCAGCCCAAACCATTCTATGATTCTGTATTAGTGGTTTCTGTTCTCTTCCTAATGCAATACCAGTTGAAGGCACCAGGAGTTTATTTAACTTCAGTGCTACATTAGATGCTGTTGAGTTTGTTGTACCTGTATAAAAACAGATGTGATTTACCAACCAGAATGAGGATTTTAGTAATTCCCCTGGGTTAAATGCATATCTGTAGTAAATTGGGTATTGAAAAGTGTGGACCAAGATACACAGTTTAAATTATGTCTCCAACATGGTGTGTAAGTCTTGGTTTTGATTATCTGGGTGTTTGCAACTCAGTTAAGTGGTCTGTGAAGTACTGCTCCAATGTGAAACTTGTCTTTTGAAGCTGAGTAGCAATCAAAAAGGCAATGTGCTAACAGAAGAGACGTTTTGATCAGGATCACAAGAGGAAAGTGTTTCCTTCCCAAAAGGTACCATGGACTTGTGTGTGCTAACTGAATACCATCATCTTCTCATCTTCCCCTTAGAACCCTGAGAGGTTAGTTACAAGTCAGAAATATTTCTTTGGGAATGAGTGAAATAACTTTGCCAAAATTTAAACCGGAGGTCCAAGAAGGTGTGTTGACAAAACCGTCTCATTTTCATTTTGTAGTTTATCTTAGCCTTATTTTGCAAGCAAGCAGAGAAGGCTGTCTCCAGTTGTATATTTAACATCACCAATGCTTGTCGGTTATCTTTTACTTTAAAGGTTATTAAATTGCCACTGATTTTGGAATTCCAAATGGTTTCACTGCATGGTATTCAGGAACTGCACCTGCTCTTGTGACCACATGCTGATTTGCCCAGTGTGAGGCATGTGTTTTCCTGCTCAGCGGTAGGAAGAAGGGATGTTCCTTTGCTGCTTCTCACACTGCCCACTGCCAGGTGCCTCAAATGTTTCTGAGCAGGTGTTGGACCAGGCTTGGCCATCCTTTACTGTAGCATTACCTGAAAATATGACACTGCGGAAGAGGAAGCACCTCTCTCTCCAGGTCATGTCTGCAAAGTACCAGTTATTATCAGATAAAAGCAAATCACAACATAAACTTTATGCCACATTCTGGGATTTCTCTTCATTTTCCTTTTTATTTAGGACTCATGTTTTCAGATACCAGAAAGTTGCTAAAGCCTGCCAGAAGGCTGCAGGTGGAGGTGTGTGTTGATGCCTTGTTCTTGCTGGGGTTCTGCCTCTTGCAGCTAATGGGCATGTGTTAGCACAGCTCCTTTTGAAAAGCATCATAGACAAATCAGGCTCAACAAGAGTGGTGTGCACTCCCACTTCCTGGACTAGATTATTTTATCCTGAAAGCACTATGGAGGATAGTTAACACAAATTGAGTGTGACATTTCTAGGAAAAAAATGGGCTGATGATTTGCCTAAGTAAATCTCTCACCTTTGACACTCATATTGTGAGACCTGTGACATATGAAAGCTCATAGAGAGTTAGATTAGAAAATAAATTATCATGTTGTCATGATTTCCCTTTGAACCTCAAGGGACTTTAGAGCACAGGAAGATGCTGACTTGCACTGGATTAAACTGATAGTGAAAGTGTGGGTTTAGGCACCTACTTAGAAGCACACTGAATCACCCTCTGGAAGTGCCAAGCTCTATCCATTAGATTTCAAGGTAGCCTGAATGACTAATTTAGGCTAGACGTGTAACTTCTGCATGGTTACACTAATGCAGCTCTCAAGAGCTTCAGTATGAACCAGTAGATTTCAATTGAAATCTAAAGGTTTGATTTTGCATCATCACCTTTTGGGTTCTTAGCAGAAATTTAATATGGCTTTCCTTTTCTCTGGTCTGCTTTAGGATTAGTGGTCCATTAGGTCCACTAATCTTGGGGAAGCATTGCAAGAGCAGCTGCAAAAGAAAGATGTTATCCTTAACTATTGAGAATAATGTAGGATAAGCTGAGTACCTGGTGGTGTTTTGTACCTCTCAACTGATATTGCAGAAACTGCTCTGTAGCCCTGGTGGGATGATTCTTGATGTCAAAACCTTGCTTCAGTCATTTTCAGAGGCCGAAGGAAAAGGTTTTCTTCTGCACATCATGTCACTACTGATGTATGTTTTGTTATTTTCCTTAATGCTGCAGATGCAGCACAGATGTGGTAGCGTAATCATTCTGTCTTGTTTTCATGCTTTTTTTTTTTAACCTGGACTGCAAGAAGAATAAATATTTGATGTATATAAGTGAAATACAACTGCAATTAAGGTTTAATGAATTTCATGAATGAATGGCTAAAATGTTCATTATTCTAAATTACTGCTTTCTTAAAAACAGCGTAAGAATTCAACAGGTAAGGTAATATTTTTTAAAGTTAAATCTAAAGCCACAACTTCTCTGCATTATCATGCGTTTGAGTGTACTGGACATAAGGCATGAATCAAAATATATCTGTCAGGGGGTTATTTCATTAGAGGTTCTTTTATGCTGCACTTACAATTTTCACTTAACTTGCATGGAGTAAAGAAATCATGTGAGCATTCACCAGTCCTTACAAGACTGTTTGACAGATTTGCACCTAATTTGTTTTATGCTGTTGAAAGTCGAAGTGGTCAGTTAATGATAACTCATATTTCAGATGCACTCACCTGTTAACAATATGCTGAATTTTCTTGTTTCCCAGTTGCCTGAACCACGAATAACTTATAATGTTAGATCTCTGAAAAGCTGAAAGAACATCAGAGCAAGATTGAATAAAAAGAGTAAAATGGAAAGGGGAGCTACTTGGGGAAGGAAAGAGAGGAAAATAACTTCTTCATAATGAAAAATATCTCATAAAATTTATTTTCTAGGTCAAAACTGCTTCTATTGCCACAGAGAGGAATGGAAAGACAGAAAATAATTCCATGAACATTAATGCTTCCATTTATGATGAGATTCAGCAGGAAATGAAGAGAGCTAAGGTGTCTCAAGCACTGTTTGCAAAGGTTGCGGCAACCAAAAGCCAGGTAAAGTTTGTTCCCAGAGCGCAGTGGCCTCCCTGTCTGTGTGATTATTTCCGCCATCCCATTTTTGATCTGTTCCTGTATGAGTTATAACAAATGGCTGGGTTAGCACACCAGCCTGGTACCACAACTTGGAGCTCCCTGTGAGTCCAAAGGTAACCTCTGGTTACCATTGGCCAGGCAGGTTGAGAAGCGTTTTTCCGAGATGCATCCCTCCCTCTTCCCCACCTGCAAGATGCTTTCTCTGCATGCCTCTGAGTCTTGAATGTCTCGGAAAGCATCAGGTTCATCAGTTCTTAGCTAGTGTGGACATGGCAGAAGCTGTGGGCAAGTTCTGTGTAGTGCTACCAAATTCATCTCGAGGCTTTGGTGTTTTGCAGTTACATGGTGCTGTTGAACTCTGAGGTTCTGCTTTTTGTGGAAATAGTTGGACTGACTAGTGAGGCTGTGGAGCAGCAGTGTTCATACCAAAAAACAAACAAAAAACTCCAGCAACTTATAGTTATACAGGTTACATCTGAGAAAACATGAATGATCTTTATGGAATATGATGGCTGCTTGTTGACTTGCATGTGTGCATATATTGCATATTCACTTTTAAGCCTTTGCTGTTTGGTTTCCTGTTTCGTTTTCTTCAAATGAAGAACTTTTGTCAAGTTTAGTGGCAAGAGAGGGAAATCAGCAAGCACTTGTTGGGTGTGATTATCGTAAGTGACGGAGTGCGCAAAAGCATTGATTTAAGTGAGAATGTGCTCAAGAAGTAAGTGAAAACATACAGAAAAATAGGAAAGACTAGAACCATGTTTATACCAACATTTGAAATAAATGGTATAGGTACCAAAGCTTGCAATGTAGAATTTTCATGTTAGATTAAATGTAAAGTCCACTTAATCACTACTCCTTTGCTAAAATTGTTTCATAGGAAAATACAGCATCTTCCAGGGAAAGCTGATAATGAAGTTAGATTAATGTTTCTTGGGCCATCAGCATTTTAGTGCTGGTTTTCTTGTCAACAGTTTTTAACTTTTGACTTCTGTGTTGTTCATGTCTTGGTGTTCACTTCATTGTACAGAAAGGATGTTGTCTCTTAAGTTATATGCTGTAAGGAACATTTAAAGGGATATTTTGGAAATGTTATATCAAAATGATTAAACTCAAGCTGTGGACTGTAAAAATTATAGCTTTATAGGCCACATGCCTGCCTACCCTTCAATCACTGTCAAAGTGATAATTTCTACAATAATATGTTTCTTTTATTGTGGGATTCTAAACACCAAGTGCTGTTTAAACATTAAACTGAATTGTTTATGTTAGTGCTGTACTCAGTGTGTCATACATCAGGCCACTATAATCTCCCGTGGAATGTAAAAATTCTGTCATGAATCATGGCTTGTATATCAGAAATTACTGTAATTTTGATTGGAAATTACAGGGCTCTTGAAATGTTTCTAATTATGATAGAATGTTACAGCAGCTTCCAACCTGTGTGCTCCTCAGATGTCTTTATTTACATGTCAAGACCTGGGGATAGAGAGCTGTCCATTTTCTACACCTTCCCCTTTCCATTGCAGTTCCCCACAAAACTAAGGTATGAAGCCAGTCTATTGGTCCACATAATTTTGATCTGATCTGATTTGTGTGATAGTATATTTATTTAAGTGCATAGTCTTAAAATTGCTAGGCGGGACAGCGCTTCCATGCAGACTTTAAAACAGACAGATAATCAAAGAGAAGCACAAAAGCTTCCAGAAGATGTGGTGCAGGATTTTTAGACCATTGATATAAAATTTAGTTTGTTGTACAAACTTTGTTACAAAGTATAGAAAGCAAGCAATACCAAATAGGTAGTTCTTTTTCCTTTTATTGTGGAGATCATGGTTGTATTCTCAGAGGTTATCTTTCTCTCCAGTTTAAGCAATGCAATGTCAACTTACATGTGAAGCAAGTGTCTGGGTCTGTAGTTAGCGATGCCATTTGTAGTAGAAAACTGCTTCAAAGAAGTAACCTCTTAGGTAAACTGGATGTGTTGGGGCTTCTCTAACCAGCTGCCTACTAGTTAGCCAATTAATAAACTTAAAATATGTAGCTCGGCCACATATATTTAAGAAGTTATCTGTATCATAAAAAATTCTGCATTGGGGCTTGTCAATGGTACAGAGAAATATTTCTGGGATAAAGAAGTCTCTCCTGCACCAAAAAGAGGCTTAATCAAACATATTACTAATAGAATCTCACTTGAGAGAGATCCATTGTTGTTTTGTTGTTGGTTTTGGGTTGTTGTTGGGTTTTTGTTTTTTGTTTTTAATTTGGAGACATTATTGGTTTCCTGCCTAGAACTGGAAATCCTAGAGTAATCACTTCCAGTTAGTGAAAAGTCTGGAGAATGCATATTAGAGAATGATGCGTTGGTTAATAGTTTTGTTTTTAATATCACTAAAATTGAACATTACTGCTCTTATCATATTTTGAATAGAAAAACTTGATTAACTCCTGAGTGTAGTCTGGAGTTGTGGTATAAAACAGTGTGTGACCTAAAACAGCTCTGCCATTAGCAGGGCAAAGATAGTTGTTTGCTGGAGGGCCTCTTTATTAATTTTGGTTTTTAAGAAACTGATTTGGGTCAACATTAGATTGGGTGTCTAAGCAGCTGGCATCTGCAAGGTGGCTGGGCTTGCCTGAGCCAGGAGACTGCAGATAATGTTCTGCTGACAAGAGCACTTTGTACAGAAGAGTTATTAAATGATGCGCTACAGAAGTTTCTATTTAGCTAGTGCTGAGGTAAAAAACAAGCATCTTCCCTTGTGCTGTGTTAGTGCATTTGGCAAGTTACCTGGTTTGACAGTGGACCACATGTAGGCCTGATGCCCAACAAACCAGCTGGCTACGGGGCCTCGGTCTGGCAGAGGTCATAGCACAGGGCAATGGTGGGCTGGAGGGAACAAGAAGAGATTGCAGTGATGTTAGTGAGGTCGAGCTCTGGCTTACATGAGTGATAATTTGTGTAATTCTAGTTTCATGGCACTCTTTGCTGGTGGCTTGTTGGCTTTCCCAAAGAAAAGGGACTGTCTTTGGAACAAGACTGGGGACTCAGAATATTCCTTCAGATGTTGAATTCTTTTCCCATATAAGAATGTATGCATTTTGTATATTTTTAAAGTTTCTATGTTTTTAAGAATCAATATATCACCTGCAACATAAATTAAAATCATTTTAAATTCAAAATATATACTTTAAAAGTTACTATGGTTCTACTGAGGAGCTAAGGAAGATATTGTAATTCAAATCGCTTGAATACATTGTATCTTTGGGGAGTTTTAGAACTGTAATTGACTAGAAATTAATGTCAGTATTTAAAACCTTACGTTTTTATTGCAAGTTGACTGCCTAATAGGTCTGCGTATTTTTTTCTTAGATTATGTTGAAAAGAGACTTTAGAAAAATGCATGCAAAAAAAAAAAGACAGAAGGGTTTACCAAATTCTTTGTGTCTGCTCCCAGGTTGTTGATTTTTTTGTGGCAGAATGGCAAAACTAGCAGCATCGTTTACTAAAATTGAACCAGCACACCTGAATAAGTCAAAATGAAAAGAATCCACACATAGATTTGTGTGGTACACGTTACTTGTACAGTTTAATCATACTGGGGGTTTATTAAATTTATAACCTGACAGCCTGATTCAAGTAATTATAAAAGCACATTCTTAATTTCGTTATTTCAAACAAAAAAAGTTGATTTGTGTAATGATCATTAAGGCATCATGGTTCAGTAACTGTGCATTGGTTACAATGTTTTCATGTGGGAGCCAGGAATGAGCTTTTTTTCTTGATAGTGACAGATGCTGAAATCTAATTTTATTCCATAAAAACAGACAAACAAACAAACCCCAAACCTAAAAACCCGGAGAGATGAAGCAAGTAGACTTCTAGTGTTTCTGTATGTTTGCTGTGGTTTGATAAGTTACATTTACGTTAACGGCTTATCCTGAAAAGCTGGGGCCTACACATGCTTGTATGAAGCTGGGAAGAAAGCAAAACTTTTCTGAAAATCATCCTATGTTGCTCAAGTTTTCTTAAATTTAGAAAATTACAGTTTGCAAAAACTGAAGTAATATAAACTTCCATATTCCAAGAGTCCCATATGTTACAGTATAAGGACATTAGCCTGCATTATTATACCTAAATGAGTTTATAGTAGAATAAATAGGTAAAAGTGCTTTCCTGCAGCATCAATCCTGTTATTTGCTGAATGTGGCTGGCTACATGAAAAAAAATGCCCTCCCTTCTCACTGAATAAAAATGCCTGTATGTTGAAGGTGAGACACTTGCCTCTCACAGAATTGTGCTCCAGTTTTAGTTTCAGAATAAAACTAGTGGAGTACTACACATACATCCAGAAACTTCATCTTATTACGAAGAGTTCTGACCCGTTACTTTGAGCTGTTGCGTTGTGTTGCCCAATTTCCTGTCCTTCTGCCCCCATCTTTCATTTTGGTTAGGCAGTTAGCCCCTTGGAAATGAGTTGTTTTGCATGCAAGACATAGAGATAAAATCACTGGTTCAGTCCATGCCAGGGACTTCATCCTAAGCCATCAGGCAAGTATTTTGTTCAGTGGTATTTTATTAGAAGTGTTTGACTTTTAGCCTTAGTGTGCACGTGGAGTGGCCTCCTCCAAAGGCTGTGTGCAGAGGCGCACCAGGTAGGCATTAAGCAGAGCATCTAACACTCTTGAGTAGAAGGGAAGGAGTTAAATGGGAAGGGAATGCTAAATATTGGCACTAAATTGCTTTTGGCATGCAAATGCCATGCTTTTCCTGACATAAATATTTTCAGAATAGGCCATTAGAGTTCAGGTATATAAAACCCTGCTTTTACTGGAAATTTTAATGTTGTAGTAAACCCAGAGATTTATAGTGAAAATTTGATGTCTGTTATCTCACTTTTTATCTTTTTAACCAGCAGTTTTATAAATGCTGTATCTTTGATCTGGCTTTTTCCATCTAGAGACTAAGCTATATACTCTAATAGGAAAGTCGTTTTTAAACAGCTTCCCACACTGAACAAGCATGGTATTGTGGATCTGGCACGAAGATGTAACATGCCATTACCGCAGATATAGAACAATCTATTCAACTATTTTCCAGCTGTGGGGAAAGAAACCTTTTTAATCACCACGAGTAACCAACCCTCTGGTAACAATGTGGCTTTAAGAGGGAGATCTTAAAATTTATTTCCAAAGCTGTTTCCTTGGGGCACTGCACCTCAGGCTGCCCCAGCAGGGTCCAGCCTAGGGAGCAGGAGTGGGCTCAGTCCTTTCCCATCTCCCTGTGTCAGGTCCTCTCCCGCCTTTGTCTCCCTCAGAGCAGCTGAGTCACTTCCTGGGTTTAAAACTTGGCTTAAAAACCCTCCTACCCCTTCCCCCCCCCCCCCCCCCGCCTTGGCATACAGTGAATTCTCTGTAGAGCGGAGAGGAATACTGCACAGGGAGACACGAGCTGGAAACAAATCGTGCTCTGATGTCTGCCTTTTTTTCACTGATCCACCTGGAAATAAATCCCTTGCCCTCATGGGAAGGTGAGATACAGTGGTTAGAAAGCACCCACTGCAGAAGTGCACCAAACAACAGTTTCCATTTATTTTATTTTACTATTTTGTTCTATTTTCCTCCACACTCTGCCACCCTTGGGTGATTGCTCTGGCAGCTGAAGAGGTGCCATGAGCAACAGGAGTCAGGATGGGATCGGGTGTCAGCAGGGATTGAAGAGGAAGAGTGTGAACTGAGAAAGCAAGATGGGCTTCTGCGCGCGATCAAGAATTGCCCCATAAAGCGACGTGTCATTCAGTGAAAACTGTGAAACTTGGCAGATAGAGCTGATTTGTTTCTTCCACAGAATACTATGTTGCAGAGTCATAGTATGTTCTGTCTCACCCAGGTCAGAGGGAAGGAGGTTTTCGGGTTTCTACTGCGGGAACAAAATGAATGCTTAAAGAGGTGCTCCCTCTGCCCCATGTCCTCATCTTTTTTTACAACATCTCAGTAGTAAAGGTTAAAACCTCAGGAAATTTCCTCAGGATTTTTTTTTGGTTTTTTTTTAATCAATTCTCAGAAAAAGGGTGTTAAAATTGAGTTCAGTTAACTCGTCACTCAACCTGGCTAGACCTGGAAAAGGGCCAGCACTGATTCTGGCCATATCCCACATTATTGGCATGACCTTGGTGGAGTGGGTTGACTTCAGTGAGTCTTGGGTCCCCGCTAGTAAAAAGTAAACAAAGATGCACTGAAGAGGAGCCTCCTTAAAATCTCCAAGGTGATTCATATAAATGTGCAATTGCCCATGGTAATCTGCATGGGGGGAGGGGGGAAGGCATTAAAACTTAAAATGGT